CACAGACACGCAAACCTACACACACACGCACACCTACACACACACACGCACACCTACACACATACACACACGCACACCTACACACATACACACACGCACACCTACACACACGCACACCTACACACATACACACACGCACACCTACACACATACACACACGCATACATACACACGCACACATACACACACGCACATATATACACACACCACACACATACACACACGCACACGCACACATACACACACTCACACATACACACACGCACCTACACCACAGCACACATACACACACGCACACCTACATACACGCACACCTACATACACGCACACCAACACACACGCACACCTACACACTAACACACACGCACACCTACACACATACACACCACGAACACATACACATATACACACGACACATACACACATACAACACGCACACATACACACATACACACACGCACACATACACACACGCACACATACACACACTCAACACATACACACACGCACACCTACACACACACACACGCACACCTACACACATACACACACACGCATACCTACTCACACGCACACCTACACACATACACACACGCACACCTACGCACACACAATACACACACGCACACCTGCACACATACACACACGCACACCTACACACATACACACATACACACACGACACCTACACACATACACGCACGCACACACTACACACATACACACACGCACACCTACACACATACACACACGCACACCTACACACATACACACACGTACACCTACACACATACACACGCACACCTACACATACACTCACGCACACATACGCACACATCCACACACGCATACATACACACACGCACACATACACACCCATACACACACGTACACGCACACATACACACACTCACACTACACACACTCACACATACACACACGCACACATACACACACGCACACATACACACGCAACATAACACCACAACACACATACACACACACACACATACAACACGCACACATACACTTCACACGCGCACATACACACACGCACACATACACACACACAGCACACATACACACGCGCGCACGCGCACACACACACACACACACACACACACAACACCACACACACACACGCACACACACACACGCACACATACCACACACATCACACACAATCACACACACAAATCACACACACACACGCGCACACGCAGACTCAAATAGAAACTCAGTTACACACCAACAACATTCCACAAATAATCGCGCGCACACACACAGAGCACACGCACATGCACACGCACAATACACACACACATACACACACACACGATACATACACACACACGCACACATACACACACACGCAAACATACACACACACGCACACATACACACACACGCACACATACAGACACGCAAACATAACACACACACGCACACATACACACGCACACATACAACACACGCACACATACACACACACACGCACACATACACACACACACGCACACATACACACACACACACACGCACACATACACACACGCACACGCACACGCACACATACACACACATGCACACACACACGACACATGCACACACACACACGCACACATTGCACACACACACGCACACATGCACACACACGCACACATGCACACACACACGCACACATACACACACACGCACTACACACACACAACGCACACATACACAACACACGCACACACATACACACACATACACACACACATACACACACATGCGTACACATACACACACGCACACATACACATACAGACAAACACGCACACACACAAACACGCACACATACACACAAACACGCACACATACACACAAACACGCACACATAACACACTCATGCACACATACACACAAACACACACACATACACACACGCACACCTACACACACCGCACAATACACACACGCACACACTCGCACACACACGCACACATACACACACAAACCCAATACACACACACGCACACCTACACACACACACACGCAAACCTACACACACACACACACACGCAAACCTACACACGCGCACACACGCAAACCTACACACACACATACGCACACCTACACACACACATACGCACACTTATACACACACATACACACATACACACACACATACGCACACCTACACACACACACATACGCACACCTACACACACACACATACGCACACTACACAACACAATACGCACACTACACACACACACATACGCACACCTACACACACACACGCACACCTACACACACATACGCACACCTACACACACACATACGCACACCTACACACACATACGCACACCTACACGCACAACACACACGACACACATACACACACACGCACATACACCGCACACACGCGCGCGCGCACGCACGCACGTACGCACACCTACACACACACGCACCTACACCACACACGCACACCTACACACACACACGCACACTACACACACACGCACACCTGCCACAACACGCACACCTGCACACACACGCACACCTACACACACACGCACTCACAGACACACACACGCACACACAGACACACACACACACACACACACACAACACACACACACACACACACACACACACACACTTGTCCACTGAAATGTATGTGGCACCTTTTATATATTTGCGCTTTTATCTGTTGTGGCATTGAAGATTCGCTGTGTTGTAGATTCTGAGATAACTTATCTTTATCGTGATGTAGGTGAAACAAAGGTCAGGTGAAGGCGAGTCGAGTTAGGCCGCCTTACCTTAATTAAGAAAGACTTCCGTTGCCAAGCTTACTATATTTGTGTAAGAAGCACATATCTTTAAAATGGTTTCCTCGACGCTTGTCCATAGAAATTTGAGAAATGTGTTTCCCCTTTCGCAACTGAACTATTTCCTCGGGCAAGTAGACCTCGGCTCCTTGGGTGGCGCAACCGTTCCTGAAGCTTCGATAGTTTGATGCGTTGACCTTTCTTGTGGGCGTTGAGGCGGAGGCTGGGCGGAGTGGGTGTCGCCTCTTTGTAACCCAAGAACAAAAACACTCGCGGCTGGGGTTGGCCCGAGTGTCAGAGGTGTATCGCGAAGGTTTGAAATATTTGAAGAAATTCAGGATTGTATCGTGGTAGACAGACAGACCGTCTTGCGTCGAGATACCAGGAAGTGTTTCAAGGGACCGACGTTGTGTACTTTGCCTTTTCCGCCTGTCATTTCCACCGCGCGGAACTTGCTTGTCATCGTCTAGGGCCGAGCACAATTCTCTATGGGAGTAGATATGAACCGCCTCCATACGTGTTCTGTAGATAAGTTTAGGTTCGGCAGGGTCCTCGGCAACTTCACGCTGCTGTGTCGAGTGGGGCCTTGGCGCGATTATGCCGTTCAATTAGTGTGACAGTAACTGGCAACTTGTGTTACAGAGCGGAGCGCAGCGCAGCAGGGAAGCGAGACGTGAGGCCGAGCGTGTGCGCCTCACTTCCTCGCGCAGTTGCTGGAAGAGCTCGGGCAGGTGAGTCAGTGGGAGAGCTCGCTCCCCTCCGTGTAACGTTGGAATCCCCTTGGCGCATCCTCCACCGGGGGATATTAATACCGGTCACGGGTCACAGGCCACAGTGTCTGCTGGCGCTGGCACGGAGCAAACAAGTCCCAAGCTGTGATAGTGAGTGCATTATCGTCTCGTCAGATTTTATTCTGATAGCGTTTGAAATTTTAGTGACGTATATTATCTTAGAGAAAGCGAAATACTAACTGTGTGAACAGCGAGGTCAATATAGACTTTGGGGAGACAGATATAAGCAGTGCCGTTATTTCTTTTCGCTTTTCATAAGAATGAATGCATTTCGAATGTCAACCATTGGCATTCGCATGTATATGGAAAATGATTTAGTTTTGCCAAATGTTTACCATTTATACCGCCGAGGTTCATAGTATTCTACTAGGGTGCGTGTTCACCTGCTGGAGGGCCGTCCGCGGGTGAGCGCTCGCTTTTGTGAATCTTGTGGACCCAAGCGCTGTCATTTGCGGTAGAAACAGTGGTTAGAATAAGGAGAGTAGATTGGAAATAATGTTCTGTTTGTGTATTAAATACAATATTTTTTATTATATGGCATATCACTAATACTTATATACATACATTCATGTACATGATGTATATATACCTAAACATACAAATGTCTGCACACACACACACACACACACACACACACAGAGAGAGAGAGAGAGAGAGAGAGGGAGAGAGAGAGAGAGAGAGAGGGGGAGAGAGAGAGAGAGGGAGAGAGTGTGTGTGTGTGTGTGTGTGTGCAGACATTTGTATGTTTAGGTATATAAACATCATGTACATGAATTTATGTATATAAGTATTAGTGATATGCCATATAATAAAAAATATTGTATTTAATACACAAACAGAACATTATTTCCAATCTACTCTCCTTATTCTAACCACTGTTTCTACCGAAAATGACAGCGCTTGAGTCCGTAATAACTTCGTATAGCATACATTATACGAAGTTATACGAGAGTGAGTGAGTGAGTGAGTGAGTGAGAGAGAGAGAGAGAGAGAGAGGGGGAGAGAGAGAGAGAGGGAGAGAGAGAGAGAGAGAGAGGGGGAGAGAGAGAGAGAGGGAGAGAGTGTGTGTGTGTGTGTGTGTGTGAGAGAGTGAGTGAGAGAGAGAGAGAGAGAGAGAGAGTATTCGCGAGAGAGACAATGCGAGAGAGAATTCAAAAGAGAGAGAGAGAGAGAGAGAGAGAGAAAGATTTTGAACTGCATACTTTATTTATTTGATTTGTATGTTTTATTTACAACAATGTATAAAAATGCAAAAATAATTAAATTCATATGAAACCATTACTACATTTCACCCATAGCAAGCCAACAGTTTTAAGTTCAGGTCCTTTCACGAATTGCATTTACAAATACTAATCCCATTTTCCTCTTACAGCTACCTGTGATAGACTGCTGTCATGAGTCTCCCTACTATTATGCATAACTGGCCTTGGCTGGTAGCAGGAGCAGTAGGGGCTTTGTCAGGCTTTGTTGCCTACTGTAATGTTCCTCTGGCTTGGAAGGGGACACCTCAGAAAGCTACACTGGGTAAGACAATTTCTATTTCTTTTTTTATGTAAGTGAGCCAGAACTTGTGAGATAACTTTTTGCTGGAATTTTCCTTTCATAATACATGATTATGCAAATATTTTTGTAATTATGTAAAGAGATATTGCGTGTTGTCTTTTTGTTTTGAAGTGACATTACAAATCTCCTCCCACTAACTTTGTAATTTCCCTTCCTCCCAAAGAATGGCTGTCAAAGGCTCCATTACAGCAGCTCCATGGATCAGGGGCATCCTTGATAGCCTCAGATTTGTGGAATAAGAACGGAGCTGTGATTATGGCTGTGAGGAGACCTGGATGATCTTTGTGTAGGGAGGTAGGTTGATGAATAATATGAGGTACTAATAAAATGGGAACTTATTTACATAGCTGTAGTAATAGATTATACATACATGTATGTATGTATGTTTTACTGTAGGTCAGAACTGTGTTATTGCCGATAAGATATGGCTTATTACCGAAAATGATTGACGCTTAATTTGACTCCATTTTTACATATTTTGATTATTATTTTTTTTTCACTTGAAGCTTGAATATCCAAAATTGATACAGGTAATTATATACATATATAAGATGTGTTGATCATGTTGGAATTAAGTTTATATTGAATCAGGTTTTTATTATGATTATTCTTAGACTAGTCATTATTTTTATTGTTAAATATATAATTATTGTTAATATTATTGTTGTTTTTATTATTGTTACTGTTGTTATTATTGTTTTTATTATTATTTTTACAGTTGTTAGTACTGTTTATTTTATTAATGGTATTAGTTTAGTTTCATCATAATCATTATTGATATAGCTATTGCTGTTACCAGCACCAAATTTATTAAGAGATTGAAAATGAGCTTCATTTTTTATATTTTCTTTGTTGTTTACCTTTACAGGAGGCCCTAGCCCTCTCTAGCCTCAAATCCCAGTTTGAGGCAAAGAATGTGGCTTTGTATGGTCTCCTCCATGAAGAACTTGGAGCAAAGGAGTTTACCAAGTTCTTAGATGGAGAGCTTTTCCTTGATCAAGAAAAGCGTTTTTATGGCCCAGAAGAGAGAAGAATGTTGTTGACAGGAATGTTGCGATGGAGTGTGTGGAACAACATAATGAGGGCTAACAAGAAGGGGGTTGAAGGTAACCTCAAAGGAGATGGAACTTTACTGGGCAGTAAGTTTTTTTTGTGGTTTAGACAGTGGCATGTCTTCATATTTCATTCCTTGATATGTTTTTGTAGGGCAACATGTTTGTTTATAACCTTTGATTATTAACCAAAGGGTATAATATTTTTTTGTCCAAAGAAACACAACAAATCTATATTCAAATAGTGACAAAAATAGTCTTGCTCAATTGTTAAGAATTAGGTCCCTTGTATCATTAAGATTTTTTTTCTTAGTTTTAAAGCAGAGTGCAATTGATTCTTGAAATACAGATTTATAAGCATTCCTTTTCAAAGATTTTCCAAGTTTAGATATTCTATAAACATTTTCAATGTATCTTGCTGACAATTTCAGAAATGGACCAGTATGAGCAGGCTTGATTAGAAGTAAATAAAAAGGCTTTTTTTTTTCCTTTTCAGGTGTGTTTTTGATTGGTCCAGGTAATCAGGGTATATTATATGAACATCGAGAAATGGAGTTTGGGGATCATCACAACAGCACTGAGCTTTTGGCTGCTTTAGAGAAGATTAATATTGGAGATAACAAAGTTCCTGACAGTTAAGAGTCATGTAGATGTATGTTATGGTAGCTATGTGCTTAATATCTGTTGAGTAGTTGTCATATGCTTTCCTAAGCTTGAGTTTGTAACTGCAAAGAATAGACCTAGAGTTGAAGGGATGTGTCAGGCTTTTCAGGTTTAATATATGAAGGTTTGTACATAAACTCTGTGAGTAGTATAAACTGGATGGCAAATAAACACAGCAAGTCTGACATTTTCTTGGATAATTCAGTCTTTGAAGGAGCAAGTTCAAGCTGGGGGATTAGCAGTAATCTTGGCTAACTTGATACTAGATATGTCAGCTCAGCCTTGTTCCTTATGTTAGAAGTTTTAATTATATATTTATTATATATTATTTCTTTAACTTCTCAAGTCTCTCAAACATATACATGTAAAGATGATTACAAACAAGTGTGTACACAAATGATAATGTTCCTTCTTTGAAGATAGAAATGATTGTATAGCAGTTAAAAATATTCTCATATACTATTAAAAGACTATTATTTATTTATGTAAAGCAGCTCCTCCTTTGCACTTTGCCTCTTTCTCTCTTGATAACCAGGGGCGTGTTTTAAAGGAGTACTTTGAAAAGGGATACACTTTCTATTGATCTTGTGTTGTAGCTTGCTGTTCTCAGGTGATATTTTTAAACGACTGTTGGTGTGATGTTAAAGATAGGTTGCATATTTCATTTACATATTGTGATGGGAGAACTATGTAAAGTTTTCTTTATTTGTAGCAGCTGTTAAGTGACTAAGATACTCAAGCATTTTTTTGGTTTGTCACTATTTATTCACAGTGCCTCAAAAGTAAAAAGAAGTCAAGAATGAGCTTATGGTCATGATGTTGAACATTTTTGAAGTGTAATTATTTAATTTGTGTCTATACCAGTGTGTCTGATACAATTTTGGGATATCAGTAATGTTCTCAATTAAAGAAAAGGAATTGTGCAATAAAATGTTATAATAAATATATGAAATGTTCTGTGTTGCATTTTTTGGTGAATTTCCTTAGCCTTTCAAAATGGAAGAAATTGTCATGTTTTTAGGCTTGCCAGTATATAATCAAATGAGCCCCTCAAATCCATGCTTATTGTTCTTTTGGGGGGCTTAAGAGAGACTGGGACCCAATGCTGGGGAGCACCCCAGCCTTGAGCCTCAGCCCTCAACTCAACATATATTGCATGTTCTTTTCTATTTCCTATCTCTGTTTCTTTCTCTTCTCCAACCCTTTCTACTATCCACTCCCTAAGGTTTGTGGGCCATGTTGAAAAGATGAAAGGCTGATTTTGTGCCAGTTATGAACAGCCTGGGAGAACCATGGGCACATTGCTCCCCTGTTTAATTGTCTAGCCCTTACCCCTCAAGGGGACCCTGAGGGCTAAGGGCTTTTACTATCTCCTCTTCAATACCTACTATCACCTCAGTCCAATCTTAATCTATAAATCTACTTCATTTCTTCCACCCCCACAGCTTTCTTCATCCTGTACCCCCTCCCTTTTTACTACTGTGCAGCCTTTTAGTCAGCCTCTTCACAGTACTACCTCTCTCAGCACTACTCCCTCTTCCACATATCCTTGTCATTCTACAAACCTACTGAATACTCTGTTAAGCCCAGCCAAATAGGTTTGATTTTTCATGACCCCTCTACAGCCAATTACTCTGACAACATTCATCTTCCAGTAATGCCTCCAGTAACAAGTAGGTCAAGTTTCCTTCTACAGCCATTCCCACCTTGTGACAGTTACATTGCTGCCCAGCCTCATCCCTCCCTTGATACTTGTACTGGAACTGTCTCACCAAATAACTGCCCTGTCTATGACAATGATTGGTCAGATTGTGGAGAAGACCTACTCTACTGCATCATATTTGAGGTGCAGTATCATTACAATGCTACACCATTCCCCCTAGAGGCCACAGTAATTTTCCACCAATACTGCCAAGATTACTTTCCATAAACATAACCTCCCCCTTCATGGAAAGTCCCTCCTTGTCCAACCATATAAACCTCACCCCCCCCATCAATGTCAGAATTATTGGCATCTAGGCCACCCTGCCAGCCCCAATTGTTTTGGCTCCCATAATGCATTTTATAGGGGCTCCCATACCTACAGGTTTGAGTCTGAGGTGGCAATTTTCAGATTCAAACTTGGCCTAACTTTTCATGAGGCCAGAGAAGTACACAGATAAAGTTTTTCCTACTCCCTACACAAGTACCCTCCTTCACTCTGCACCTCCTCCATTCCAAGATGTTTCTCAATCTCACCCAGTACCTCTTCCTTATACCACTTCAACCCCCTCCCTCTCCCAGTCAGATTCTAAATCCAGACATCCCAATCATCATCACCATTCCAGGCACTACAATCTCTACTTCCCCATTCCTACACCTCTTCCACCTTGCTCAACTCATCGCCCAAGACAAACTAAAACATTCTACACCATCTTCCTCTACATCAACCTCTGCCTCTCGAATGTCTTCCTCCTCATAAGAAAACCTTTCTTTCAGATCTCCCCAACCAACTCCTCTTCAGAAATTCTCAAAGACATTCAAATCAATCTAATCACGACTCAAGATCACATACCTACACCTCATCCATCCTCCAGTATCTCTGCTCCCATTCTCTCTACACTCAAACTTCCGACATCCATCCTTCTACTCATGTACCCCCAACACTCGTTCCTCCCAGTACCTCCCAACTCATCCCATTTCCCCCCTTTTTCATCTGCATCATCCCCCCGACCATACCCATTTTCCTATTTTACCATCCCCTTTCCCTTGGATACACAAGGGACTCTTTGTCATAACAATCTCCTTCCCTACATTTTCTCCCTCCTGATCTTTTCCTGAAACTGTGATCCAATCACTAGTAAAAAACCCTTTTTCATGCTAATCCTTACCTTACCCTATGAACAACTATGCAGAATCCCACATTTCTACCTTTGACAGCTTTGATCTAAATACCCTTGTTAATCCCTACCTTAGCCCATTTACTAAACTCTCTCTACTCTCACCCCTCTTTGTCTCTTTCAATGCTATACTATATAATATNAACGGAAGATCTAAGTGAGCTGAGTGTTCCTAAATCTTTTTCAGGAAACAAATAAAAAGTACAAAAATTTTTTTATTCTACACTGGCTTTGGTAAAAAAAAAAAAAAAAAAAAAAAAAAAAAAAAAAAATATATGATACACTATATATTTTACATTTATTACACATTCTATATATGTAGATAGTTTTATTTCGCCTTGTTCGACTAATCATCGGCTCCAAATTAGCCGTTATTGCCAAAGTTCAACCTCAATTTAACCTAATTACCCCCCCCCCCCCGTCCCTCAGCAGACAAGGAGATGCATATGTTTTAAGTATCATTATCTGGTTTCTTTGCGTCTCTCCTACTTCCCAATTTTATCTTTAATTCGATTATGAAATACGTTGTACCCATAGCACTTTATATTAACTTTATTACAAAGGTAAATGTAGGGTAAACCTGCGCTTGATTTTCAAATTACTTACGAAGATGTAGTTAAGAAAATATCAAATGAAAATCAATATATTGTATCAATATATTCAGTTAGGTATAATCACTACCACTGCATTCTTAACGGATTATTTATTTGTGCAATAAATAAAGTAAACACTACTACACATTTCATCCCAGATTAATTTTAGTTGATTAAGATTTTTTAGGATTCCTCTGTATAAAAATCCGGTGGTCGTACTACGGTAAAACATATCAAAAAGATGTTTTTATTCACATTATTTCATACCTGATTTTGTTATATTTGATTATTCTGTTTTCTGACTCTCAAGTGCATTTCTTTTCTTGTGTTAACTAACCTGTAACTCCTTCAATGTTTTTTCCTCGTCTTTGACCACTTGCTTCATCTGAAAAGCAGTTTAAAGTAATGATATTAATGATAGCAAAAGTAATGATAAACAATCAACAATAAAACAACAGCAACAAAAGAATGATAATAATAACAAAGATAATGTCACATGGAGGCGTTTCCTCAACATCGTTTATCAAAATAGCAAAACATTTTCAGATACATACGAGAGAGAGAGAGAGAGAGAGAGAGAGAGAGAGAGAGAGAGAGAGAGAGAGAGAGAGAGAGAGAGAGAGAGAGAGAGAGAAGAGAGAGGAGAGAGAGAGAGAGAGAGAGAGAGAGAGAGAATGAAGAGAGAGAGAGAGAGAATGAGAGGAGAGAGAGAGAAGAGGAAAGAGAGAAGATGAGAGAGAGAGAGAGAGAGAGAGAGAGAGATGGAGAGAGAGGAGTGGCAAATTATAAGAAAAAAGAATGGACCGCAATATACGCAAATTTGCTTGGAATTATTCCATAACAAAAACTAGGCCAGAAAACAATACGTTTCCGCGCCACGTAGGTTGCCTTCAACCTGCAAACTTGATTTCTCTTAAAAGAATACGACTAGAACATCTTCGGAAGAAAAGGAGTCAAATCCAGTCAAGTAATTACGAATTATTTATCAACATCTGACAGTTCATACCAAGTCAAACATCTGGAAGTTCATTACCAGGTCAAAATCAGTTCAACCAGGTCTGGAAGTTCACTACCAGGTCAAACATCTTTAAGTTCATTACCAGGTCAAAGACGTTTTCGGTCGTGTTCAAAAGGTCCCTCGCCATCTTCCCAGCTTTATTCTTCTCGTTGGCAGATGCTCCCAGTTTCACCAACGTGAAGAGAGTGTAAAGATAGCCTCTTGAAGCTGCGATGTGCAATGGCGTGTCACCATCACTATTTGCATCATCTAAGTGGGCTCCTTTCCCATGAAGTGTCTTCAGCACAGATGTCTTATTACTAGCAGATGCCAAGTGCATTGCCGTCCATCCTGTCAATAAAGTTTGATATATCTATTGCATATATTTGATAAAATAAATATTTTCAGTGTATAGAAAAAATAATTAATTAATTTACCAACACATTCTCCACTTCAAAAAGAAGATTAAGAAACTCTATAGGATTAATTTGAGCTTTAAAATGAATGAATAACTAAAAACACAACCCGGTTCCACTGCACGGACACACCTAGCTAGCAATCTACTTAAAAGTTGCAAGTACATCCACATTAAAGATTTGAAACAGACTGCACGGTTCCATGACCACTTAAGAGCGGGGACTTACGCTCATTAAATGGGAATAGAACCCTTTGACAATGGGGTGAGAACCTGTCGATTTCTATATCTATCTGTTTAATACGACACACACACACACACACACCACACACACACACACACACACACACACACACACACACACACACACACACACACACACATACACAATATATATATATATATATATATATATATAATATTAGTGGTATATATATATATAGTATATAATATTATATATATATATATATATACATATTAGACGTATATATAATATATATTAGTGTGATGTATCTATGTATGTAGTAGTATGTATGTATGTGATATAGGTACAAATATACATATAATACATATATATACCTAATATAGAAACATTTATGTGTGTGTGTGTGTGTGCATTTATATGTGTGTGTATGTGCGTGTGTATATATACATATATACATATATATACATAAATATATAGATATATATATATATAGGTAGTATATAGAGAGAGAGAGAGAGAGAGAGAGAGAGAGTGAAAGAAGAGAGAGAGAGAGGAGAGAGAGAAGAGAGATGAGAGGAGAGACCGAGAAGAGAGAATAGATTATGAAAGAGAGAGAGATAAGAGAGAAGACGAGAGAGGTAGAGAGTAGAGATTAGAGATTAGAACGATAAGAGATAGAGATAGAGATAGAGATAGAGATGTATAACAGTAGACTATAGATAGTAGATATAGATTAATATAGAGATGTGAAGTGAGAACGAAAGAAAGGAAAGAACAGACGTGAGAGAGCAAAGTGGAGTGAGAGAAATTAACACACACAAGGTCACACACAGACACACCACAACCATAACTATAGTCGGCGTCCAATAGTATCGACGCCACGAATATACAGCTTTAACATAGTATTCGCCCATTATCTATACATATATAGCTATAAGGTGGTATAAAGGTAATTAGTATATAAAAACATAATATATATTATAGTTATATATGTCAATGTATATGTACTTATACATAGTTGTAATATGTTATATAATATGGTATACAGTGATATAGGTTAGATGATATCATAGCTAGTATAACAGAGATATATATATATAATAACATACATATATAGGTTATAATATAATAGGTGGTATGATATATTAAGGTATATATACAGTATAATACTAATATAAGTATAAACTATATCATACATATACAGGAATACACCACACACATCACACATAATTGAGTGTGGATGTAAGTGGTATGTGATATAATACTATAGTGATATGATATAGTATGATCATATATTATGTTTATTATATATATAGATATTATAAGTATATATAGTTATATTATATGTAGTGCATGTATTTGTTAGCGTTGAGGGGTCTAGAGAAGAGTTATATATTGTATCGTGAGGTAATGTATTTATATAAATATATGATATAATAATAAATATTATATATATGTATAATATATAAGTAATACTAATAATAGTATTATTATATCGTACGTATATTAATACTATATATATGTAATTATCTAATGTTATATAGTATATATACCATATTTTAAGACTATAATAATATAGTATAGGCGATAATTGGTATTAATTATATACATATAAATATAATGTATAATATATAATGTAATATATATTATAAATAATATAGTATATGAGTATATAGTGAATAGGTGTTGAGAATATATATATAGAGCTTGAACTAGGGGTGATAATAAATTATGCTATATACATATATGTCATATATAGATATTAGTACCTATATATAATATGCATATAGAGTTAAGTTATATTATATATATATATATTGTATTGATTATGTATATGTATATATACTAACAATATATATATAGTAATATAGGTATTTAATATAAGGTATATAATATATAAGTAAGTACTGAGAGTATACATATTGTTAATATAGGAGATCGTAGTATATTTATATTATCAGTTTATATATATATATGTAAGTATATATATGTGAGTATAATATATATAGGAGTGAGTAGGTATATAGGATAGAGGTAGATACTTATTATATGATTCATAGTATATATATAGGAGGTATATATATATGTATATATAAACGTATATAAGTTATATATTGTTGATGATGTGTGTTGTGAGTGTGGTGTGTGTGTGTGTGTTGTGTGTGTGTTGTTGTACTGTAAGAAGAGTATGGAATTAAGATATAGTAGTATATTATATATAGAATATAAAGCTATCTTGTGATCGGGGTTATGATAATTATGTGAATTATACTATGATTGTTATATATACTATTTATATTAGAGTATAGCATGTATATGAAAAGGATTTATAATAGTATAATCTTGTGAAGACCTTAACTTTGCTCATGATTTTGGACAACAAGAGCTATCGAGAGCCGGCCAACTTTTTTTCGTGTATCACATCATCAGCATTTTTTTTATTTTTTTTTTTTTTTTACTCCATTCACTCGCTACTATTTTCGTTACGTCCATCATTTATTTTTATCTTTTTTTTTTTTTTTTTTTTTTTTACTCCATCTTCTGCCACTTTCATGTTCCATCTTACTTTTTTTTTTCTTTCTTTCTTTTTTTTTTACTCCATCTCACCGCCACTCTTTCATCTCATCTCTTTTTTTTCTTTTCTTTATTTTTAACTCCATCTTACCTGCCACTTGTTCGTTACTCTCGCATCCTCACTTGGCATTTTATTTCTTTTTTTTTAAACTGCCATCTTCCGCCGCCACTTTCTTCGTACTCCTCTCACGCCATTTTTCGTAACTTCTTCTCACGTGCACTTCTTCGTAACTATCTCACCTGCACTTTTCTTCGGTTAATCCATCTCACATGCACTTCTTCGAACTCATCTTTCACCGACTTCTTGTACTCCCTTCTCACCTTTTTGCTACTTTTCGTAACTCTCATCTCACCTGCCTTCTTCGTAATCATCTCACCTGCCAACTTCTTCGTACTCTATCACGCACTTCTTCGTACTCCATCTCACCTGCCACTTCTTCGTAACTCCATCTCACCGGCCACTTCTTCGTAACTCCATCTCACCCTCATCTCACCCGCCCTTTTTTTCGTAACTCATCTCACTTGGCATTTATTCTTTCCTTTTTTAACATCCATTACCCGCAGCTTCTTCGTACTCCATTACCGCAACTTTTCGTACTTCCCTTCTCACCTGCTCTTCTTCGTACTCCATCTCACATGCCACTTTTCGTAACTCCATCTTCAAGACCCCCACTTTTCGTACTCATTCACCCGCCAATTCTCGTAACTCATCTCACCCTGCATTCTTAGTCAACTCCATCTCAGCCCGCCATTCTGCATTCGTAACTCCATCTCACCGCCACTTTTCGTAACTCAATCTCACTGCCAATTCTTTCGAACTCTCTCACCTGCACTCTTTCGTAACTCATCTCACCTGCCAATTCTTCGTAACTCCATCTCACCTGCCACTTCTCGTAATCATCTAATTGCACTTTTCGTAATCCATTCACTCCATTCTTCGTAATCCAATCTCATGCCCTTCTTCCGTAACTCCAGTCTACCGACTTCTTCGTAAATCATCTCACCGCATTCTTCTACTCCTTCTCACCTTCCACTCCTTCGTGAATCTTTCTCATTCTCCTCGTAACTCCATCTCACCGCACTTCTTCGTAACTCCATCTCACCCTGCACTTCTTCGTACTCATCTCACATTGACTTATTCGTAATCCATCTCACCTGCACTTCTCGTAATCATCTCCCCGCCAGCACTTCTCGTCAATCCATCTCATCCCGCCCTTTCTTCGTAGTCTCATAATTCACTTCTTTCGGTATCCTTTCACTCCTTCCTCGTACTCCATCTCACGCCGCCCTTGCTTCGTATAACTGCCATCTCACGCTGCCACTTTCTTGTAACTCCATCTCCATGCACTTTCGTAACTCCATCTCACTGCCACTTCTTCGTAACTCCATCCTCACGTGCATTCTTTCGTAACTCGCCACTTCTTCGTAACTCCATTCAACTTCTCCTCGTAAATCCTCTCACCTTCCCTTCTTCGTACTCCCATCTCACCTTCCTCTTCCTCGTAACTCCAATTCACTGCCCTTTTCGTCATCCATCTCACTTCACTTCTTCGTAACTCATTCACTTCTTACCTCGTAATCGCATCTCACCGCCACTTCTCTAACTCATCTCATGCACTTCTTCGTAATCCATCTCACTGCACTTCTTCTAACTCATCTCACCGCACTTCCTTCGTAACTCCTTCTCACTGCACTTCTTCGTACTCCATCTCAACCCGCCTTTTGTATCTTCACTGCACTTCTTCGTAATCATCTACTGCACTTCTTCGTAACTCCATCTCACCGCGCATTCTTGTACTCATTCACCTGCACTCGTCTTTCGTAACTCCATCACTCGCCACTTTCGTAACTCACTCCATCTCACCTGCCATTCGATAACTCATCTCAACCTGCCCTTCTTCGTAACTCCATCCACTGCCACTTTCGTAACTCCAATCCACTGCATTCTTCGTAAATCCATCCTCACCTGCACTCTTCGTACTCATCCAGCTCGCCGACTTTTTCGTACTCCATTCACCCCCGCACTTCTTCGTCAACTCCTCTCACCTGCCCTTTCTTGTAATACCATTCACTGCATATCTTCGTAATCATCTCACCGCCACTTTCTCTTCGTATCCATCTCACGCCCTTCTTCGTAACTCCATCTCACCTGCATTC